TATATATATATATATACAATTTTTACTTTTAATCTTTTGTCAATTAAGCGCATTGCCTCGTATTCTGATTACTGAAATGTATCCAAACATTAATTATAGCAGTAATTTTGCACGAAAAACATTTTATTGTCTAATTATTATTATTATTATTATTATTTGTATTATTATTATTATTATTATTATTGTCATTATTATTATTATTATTATTATTATTATTATTATTATTAGGCTGTTTGGGTATTGTTTTGTTTTCTTTTTACATTGGGTACAGAAAGTACTCAGACACACTTAAATAACTCTATTATATTGCAGCCATTTGTTAAACTTATTTAAGTACATTTTTCCTCATTAATGTACACACAGCACCTCATATTGACAGAAACATGCAGAATTGTTTACATTTTTGCAGATTTATTAAAAAAAAAAACTGAAACATCCCATGTATTCAGGTTATTTGCTCAGTATTTAGCAGAAGCACCATTTTGATCTAATACAGCCATTAATCTTTTTGGCAAAGATGCAAGAAGTCTCTCACACCTGGATTCCTTCTTGCAGATCCTCTCCAGCTCTGTCAGGTTGGATGGTAAACATTGGTGGACAGCAATTTTTAGGTCTCTCTAGAGATGCTCAATTGAGTTTAAGTCAGGGATCTGGTTAAGCCATTTAAGAACAGTCATGGAGTTGTTGTGAAGCCACTCCTTAATTATTTTACCTGTCTGCTTTGGGTCATTGTCTTGTCGGAAGGTAAACCTTTGGCTCAGTCTGAGGTCCTGAACACTCTGGAGAAGGTTTCATCCAGGATATCCATGTACTTAGCCGCATTCATCTGTCCCTCGATTGCAACCAGTCGTCCTGTCCCTGCACCAGAAAAACATCCCCACAGCATGATGCTGCCACCACCATGCTTTACTGTTGGGACTGTATGGGACAGGTGATGAGCAGTGCCTGGATTTCTAGTTAAGGCCAAAGTGTTCTATCTTGGTCTCTTTAGACCAGAGATTCTTATTTCTCACCATCTTGGAGTCCTTCAGGTGTTTTTACCTTCTAATGACCCCCTCAAATCACTCTGTTAAATTGCAGCCATTTGCTAAACTCATTTAAGTAAAATTTTCCTCATTAATGTACACACAGCACCTCATATTGACAGAAACACACAGAATTGTTGACATTTTTGCAGATTTATTAAACAAAAAAAACTGAAGCCTCACATGCTCCCGTGTATTCAGACCCTTTGCTCAATATTTAGTAGAAGAACCATTTTGATCTTATACAGCCATTAGTCTTTTTTGGGAAAGATGCAACAAGTCTCTCACAACTAGATTCCTTCAGTTCTGTCAGGTTAGATCAAAGGTGGACAAACTCGGTCCTGGAGGGCCTGCTTATCGATTTCTAGTGATCTTGAAGACACAGATTAGCATGCTTAGGTGTGTTTGAATAGTGTTGGAGCTAAACTATGCATGACACCGGCCCTCCAGGACTGAGTTTGCCCACCCCTGGGTTAGATTGTAAACATTGGTGGACAGCTATTTTTAGGTCTTTCCAGAGATGCTCAATTGGGTTTAAGTCATGGCTCTGGTTAAGCCACTCAAGAACAGTCATGGAGTTGTTGTGAAGCCAGTCATTTGTGATTTCAGCTGTCTGCTTTGGGTCATTGTCTTGTTGGAAGGCAAACCTTCGGCCCAGTCTGAAGTCCTGGGCACTCTGGAGAAGGTTTTCTTCCAGGATATCCCTGTACTTGGCTGCATTCATCTTTCCCTCGATTGCAACCAGTCGTCCTGTCCCTGCCACAACCATGCTTCACTGTTGGGACTGAATGTGACAGGTGATGAGCAGTGCCTGGATTTCTCCACACATGCTGCTTAGAATTGAGGCCAAAATGTTCTATCTTGGTTCTCTTTAGACCAGAGAATCTTATTTCTCACCATCTTGGAGTTCTTCAGGTGTTTTTTAAGCAAACTCCCCTGAGGACAGGCTTCCATCAGGCCACTCTGACTGGTGGAGGGCTGCAGTGATGGTTGACTTTCCACAACCTTCTCCCATTTCCTGACTGCATCTCTAGAGTGGGTACTGTGGGTACAGTCTATACTCACCTGTATCTAAAAAAAAGTTTTTATTTTAATGCACCACTAAACTAAATTAAAATGGGGAATGTCCTCTTACCATCTGGAGAAGCTGCAAAAATAATCAAAGTAAAAGTTCAATTACTTTTTTAAAGTAATGCTTTATGGTTCTGGTTTGAGTTTAAATAACTGTAATAACCCTGATGCCAACTAACCACTTTTCATACTTTATTATTGTTATTATTTTTTGTTATAGGAGGCCATTGTAGAAGAGCAAGAGAAGAAGAAAGACACAAGCTTGCAAGTTTTCCTCTTTATTTGTCTTTCCTTCATCATCCTCAACATAACCCTAAGTGCTGACTGAGTGTTTTCTCCTCAGAAGTGCATGTTTAACAGAACTGGCTTTTTGATTGTATCAGTAAGTGACTTACGGTGGTTGTGCTGTGTTGCTCTCTATCTGCGGCTCCTGTAATGCTGCCTCAGACGCCACTGATTTATACTCCCGCTCCGGCTCCAATGCAATCGCAGCAGAACATGCGAAACGGAAAACATCCTGCCGTATTTTATACAAACGACCTTTTACTGCGGCCGCATGACTGCATCTAAATCGCCATCAGACCTGCGCACACGTTAAAGCTGATTATTGTGTTGTGGGAATGCTGTAGAGGTTATGCTAATATCTGTAAGGGATCACTCTGAATCTAATGAGACCAGGCTTCATTTCAGAGCAAAATCAAACTATTGAAAGCAGAAATCAATTATAATTTACTTGGAAAATACTCTACTGCATTGATGACATTATTATTTTTTACTTTAGCACTTTGTTAAACTAAATTTTCATTGATAAATATTACTTATTATAGGATTTTTTTTTTTTTTTTGAGTATTACATATGTTATAAAGTGTAGATGTTTTTTTAGTTTCACCCCAAAATCAAACAAATTATAATTAGTTTGAATAAAATTATTAAACCCCTTTTTAATTTTTTTTTCTCTTTTATATATTTCCTAAATTATGTCCAACAGAGCAAGGAAATTTTCACAGTATGTCTGATAATATTTTTTCTTCTAGAGAAAGTTTTATTTGTTTTATTTCAGCTAGAATAAAAGCAGTTGTTAATTTTTTTTTTTTTTTACATTTTAACATTTTAAGGTCAAAATTATTAGCCCCTTTAAGCTATATATTTTTTTGATAGTCTACAGAACAAACCATCATTATTCAGTGACTTGCTTAATTACCCTAACCTGCCTAGTTCACCTAATAAACCTAGTTAAGCCTTTAAATGTCACTTTAAGCTGTATAGAAGTGTCTTAAAAAATATCTAGTAAAATATTATTTACTGTCATCATGCCAAAGATAAAATAAATCAGTTATTAGAGATAAGTTATTAAAACCGTTCTGTTTAAAAATGTGTTGAAAAAAATCTACTCTCGGTTAAACAAAAATTGGGAAAAAAAAACAAACGGGGGTAAGGAGGGGGGATGAGGCTAAAAATTCTGATTTTTTTTCTGACAGTTGAAGTCAGAATTTTTAGCCTCATCCCCCCTCCTTACCCCCCCTTTGTTTTTTTCCACAATTTCTGTTTATTTATATATAT